GCCATCTTGAATTTACATATGTTTACGGGTTTCCTGTGTTGCCATATTAGTATATTGACGTCACTATGACGCGTACTTAGTTACCGGTAGTCAAGAGAAAAGTTTTCTGTTGGGCAAGTTAGGGCAAGCCCTTTGACCTTTTTTAACCTGGAAAATTGCAACTAAATTGTAAGTAGACTTTTTTCTAGTTTCAAAATACTGTGTATAAAAATTATTTCTATATGCTTATTAAGTTTTTCTCGGTAATTCCTATTATTTATTAATGTAAATTGTCAATTGTTCATCGGGCCGTCAAAGCCATTGTTTTCAATTGTAACTTAGTTAACTTAGTTTATTGTGTTTGGTTTATTAGTGAACCACACAAACACACTTGCACTCTCGCATGAAGTAACCTTAGAAGTCAGTGAAGTGTGCGTTCAGATTGAAGAATAAAGGTCAGAAGTTCAGTTTTTATTGCCCTCAGTGTTAAATGATGCCCAACCAAATGTAGACCAGGCTACAAACTTCATCCAATGGACATCAAACTCCGTACAGCTTTCGATCAATACCTATTCTCACTTGCCACCAATGTTCAGCCTCCAGTGACAAATATTTTTCGAGATATTTTAGTCAGAAGATCAAAATACTCCAGCCTACTGATGGACGGTACTTTCAACTCGTGCACCAACGGAAATGCCTCGCTCTGGGGTGCCCATAACTGAGCCGAAGCGGGAAGAGCAAGGATTCTTGAATTCTTGTTATGATGAAGTAGTAAATTTTAGTTTGAATATTTCAGGTTCATAGACAATTAAAGGGACACTGTCAATGGATGACATGCGCAGTAACAGTCTCGACACTAACGGACTTTGAAAGTACTACCTTCGAAGTAAATCAATGTTTTGACACACTTTGGAATATTCTAGATCTGTTTACGTTTACGAATCCTTTTTTTGTCATGCGTCGCGCCAACTTGGAGTCGTAAACTTGAAAACATTAGCCTAATCTTTTCAAGTTTACTCGCGCATGCGTGCCATTGACAGTGTCCCTTTAAAGGGCTACTTGGACGAAAATTACGAAACGTTAGAAAAGACTTGGAAATCAAATAGACCTATCCATATGGGTCTAAAAATCATGAAGCAACAGATTTCAAGAAGATATTGTATAAATCCCTAATAATTTGAGAAACAAAGATTGGAGTATATGACGTCATTCACTCCATCCTTTTGTTCTTCCATCTTTTGAATCAAAATTTCTCTGATGTGGGATAATTCCAAAACAAATATTTTCCCGCAATTGTTTTTAATAGATATAAATGAGTTATATATTTGTATTTCTTGAAGTTTTGAAACTAATAAGGGAATTTTCATACAAGTAGCACTTTAAGAACTCCAACAGGATGCGGACGCCGATGTAACGGTGAATTACATTGCGATTTTTATGAAAACCACAACTACATTACTTCACGTCCTCTCACCCCAGAGCGAGGCATTTCCGTTGGTGCACGAGTTGAAAGTACCGTSCATCGGTAGGCTGGAGTATTTTGATCTTCTGTCTAAAATATCTCGAAAAATATTTGTCACTGGAGGCTGAACATTGATCGAAAGCTGTACGGAGTTTGATGTCCATTGGATGAAGTTAAAGGTGTCTTAGAGGCCGTAGTTTTAAACCGGTTGGCAAATTTCGATCGCTGACTTACCTCCCTTGTCTATTTTCATTTACGAGGGGGAAAAAATATAAAAATGGCTTTAAAAATCAATAATTATTCATAAAACTGTTTATACTCATTATACTCATTTAAAGAAAAAAGAAAAGAAAGAGAAAGTCTTGAAAAGTCTCAAGAAATGAAGTAGAAAAAATTGACGGCTTCATGAGGGCTCGAACCGCGAACCACGCAGGACTTTGGCACCGCCGTGAAAGCAACACAACTGTTGAGACTGGGCGCCCTGTGCATTAAGGGATATGACCCTCCATTACCTCCAAAAGCTGTTCCCTTCCATACACGACCAGTTACAAGCTGGAATGGACGAGTAGAAATTTCTTGTCCTGCCCCTGCGACTCCGATGATGACAGACGTTCCCCAGCCTTTGTGACATGCCTCAAGTGCTTGGCGCTGTAGGTTCCAAATCAGAAGAGAYAAAGCAGTCCTAACAAGAACTTTTGGATTAGCGAACTCTATCAAACATGGGTGATCATGACCTAAGATATTTTGGCGTTTGAGTACATTGTTACCCTGGTTCCAGAGGTTTTCTCTTCTTTAATAATTGTTTTTTTTATTTCGCATTTTTTATTTCGCATTTTTTATTTTGCATTTTTTATTAATAAAATAAATATTAACAACAACATAAAAGAAAGAAAAAAACCTCTGAGACCAGGGTAGTACATTGTTGGATGATGTTGGACGGAGAGTTTATCAAGTCTGAAGTTTGTCCTACAGTCTATCATATCAAACACCATTCAATATTTTCCATGCTCTCTAGTCTGATGTGCAATGTATGAAGTTGTTTGAAAAAAAAAAGAGGTTACCAAATTACGCATGGTTTTGAGTTGTATGTCCACTTATTAACAACACACTCTTGACGTCATAAAATGTTCAAAACTCAAGTGGACCCACGAGTGCGCTCTTTTGAGCGCGCCAACTYAGACGCAATGGTGTCAGCATAGCTTGTATGTCCTTTTATTGACAGATTCTGACCTAATAGCCAATATAAGCGCACGAGAATTCGCAGAAGTATGGTAAATTTGATTGATCATCCAACAATGTGATCTGTCAACTCCGACCGCATATACACAAATC